ACAGGCTTTCTGTTGGTAAGGCCTTTTCAAATGTTAATTGACTTCCTCCCTCTCAAGGGAAATCTCTTTACCATCTCCTAGAGAAGGAAGTTTTGTTAGTAGGTTAATTATTTTCTCTCCACAGGTAGTCTGACTCACTGTGCTACAGGGTTTTTTTGTGTGCTCCAAAACAAGAGCCTGTGAATTAGGATATAAAGAAAATTATTGTTCTACCAGTTCTTTTGAACAGTAACCTTCTATATCCATGTAAACAATAAGTTACTAGTTCAGGCCTCCATGTACTGATAAGATTGACTTTATTATCTTTCAGCTCTGTGTGGTAAATGTTTTAGTGGAGTCCTAGGATGATTTGAGGATAATGGTTCCATAGTCTCTTTTATGTCTTATGCCATCCTCAGATTTTAACCAGGAAACATGATAGTTATGCTGTTTTATTGATTTTTTTATTATTATTCATAGTAGTCAAAATGCAGTCTTGAAAATAATGAGTAATGCATTTGTAGAATCCATATTACCTTACCTTTTACTAATTTTATTCTCAAATTTGGCTTCTGATCAGTTTGTTCCTTTTAAAAATGAACAAAAGCATTTCCAGCTATGTCAAACCTTTTTCTTTTTTAATTTTTTTCCCCACTTCATAATCTTTATGTACATGTGTGTTATGAGCCTCGTTTTCTACCTCTGCATCAGTGCAGTTCTTTTAAAAGAGAGTAATACAAATCAGATCCTCTTGATAAGGATAAGGTCATTGTACTTGTTGGTGTTTACTTACATTTCCTATATTGCCAGACTGGTTGGGTATATTGCTTCAGCAATACTGTCATATGAAATCAGTGTGAAAGCTGTGTGTGTCTGCACTTGGTGTATTTTCCAGCTGACCCTTGATCCTGCATCGTTTCTGTTTTGTGCTGTCTGCCCCAGGCTGAATCTTAATTAAACCTTAAATTTTGCTTCATTAATTTATTGCTTCCCATCTACATTGAAGCTGTGTGTGAGGGAGAGGAGGAGTACTGTTTGCTTTACAATTCTGCACTGCCAAAACTTTCAGTGTATTCCTAGTCTGGCAGCCTCATTCAGTGTTTAAACACCTAGCAGTTCAGACAGAAGCAATTAAGTCCTTGAGGCTAAACTTGCAGCACCAAAGGCCTCACATTCTTTGAATACTAATCCTTGTGTCACCTCTGTGTCACTGCTTGCTTTCTGTAGGACTGCAGAAGTAGAGAGCCTAGTCTGTGTAGCTGGTTTTTTCCTTCCTTTACGCACAACTGCAAAGAGACAACTGCAAAATTTGACCCCATTAAGAAGGGCCTAGCTAAATAAAACATTCTCACTGCTTTTCGAGTAGAATGTTGCCGTTACCCTTCTTCATTTGGAGTCAGTAGTCAAGGGCTTCTCTGCACTGGGATATGATGCTGGTTTAATTGGCATATGTTGTAACACGTCTTTTTTTTCCCCTTCCCTGCAGCATACACCAACCCCATGCTAATTTGTTGTGCTCATTGACTATCTTTTGGTCCCCTGATTACCTGTGTGGTTTTCTCTCTCTGATGAACTCTGCTTGCTTAAGTTATTCAACTCTCTTTCTAAAACAGAAATTTTATTTTCATTTTTTAAAAAATCACTTTCTAATTGAACCTACATCAGTTGATGTGGGTGTTTACTTATGATTTCCAGCTGTTTTGCACAGTTGTTGTATCTTTTTTTTAATATACTTCTACCTCCTATGTTCTGTTATTGAAATTTCTCTAACTAAATTTCAGTAACCTTTTTTTTTTTCTCAAATGGAGCAACTATTGTACATTTAAAGGCATAGTAGGTCTTATTTAAACATTAAACAATTTCTTTATTCTTGTGCCTACCATATGCATTCGTTTTTTAATCTCTAAACTATCCTGAAATTATTTGGCAGCTGGTGGTTCTGCCTGTCTATTGAAACTGAACAGCATACTTAGCAACTGCTCATTTTTATACCTTTGTTAATTTCTTCCAAAATCTTCTGCTAAAATTTTAGAGTAAAATAACTTAATATATTGTACCTTTTTTTGACTAGCTTTTCCACTTCTACCTCTCCACAGTAAACGTTCTTCCTCCCTCCTGAGTTAATTTGCTTAATCCTGCCTGAAAGCTTTCTCAGTTATAAACTATGCCGGCAGTTCACTGCATCCACGTAAGCCACCTTCAGCGACAGTATTGTGCAGCACCGAAGAGCCATCCAGCAGTTATTTAATCCCCAGAGGAAACCAGTTTATAAAGGACATGCAAATATATCTAATTAAGTCAAGAAAAATAGAATTCAATTAAGAGAGCAGCTTGTGTAGTGAAGACTAGTGGTAACAGGAACTTGTTTTTCCACTTTGAGCTGTTGATGATCAGTAGAGGGAAATGGATACTACAAGATCACAGCAGATCAGGCCCTCTTTTCAAAAATCTGTATGAAATGCATCAAACTTTCCGCTCTGCTTCCCCTTTGCATTCAGGGAGTTTCTTTAGAATTCAGTTGTATTTTGGGCTCTTGGTGCAAATATGTGTATTACACGCTGCATTAGTTAACTGCATGTCTGTTGGGATGTCTGTATTACTGCTTTTAAAGCCTCGACTAAGAAACAGCTTCCCTTTTGTGTTTCTCTCCATATATCTCATTCCAGGGTTCATCCAGGAAGACTACCTGCGAGAGCTGCTGACGACAATGGGAGACAGGTTCACAGATGAAGAGGTGGATGAGCTGTACAGGGAGGCACCCATCGACAAAAAGGGGAATTTCAACTACATTGAGTTCACGCGCATCCTGAAACACGGGGCAAAAGACAAGGATGACTGAGCAAAGCTCCTGATACCTGCAGATAGCTTCTTCCTTCTCACACCCATAATTTTTGTTTCTCAGGATCTGTTTCTTCTGTTTTTTTCTTGTTGGGACCTTTTGCACACATTTTTAACATTCCAGCTTTTTCCTCTGTGGACTCTGAGGCTGTTCAGGCACACCTACACCTGTGTAGTAAGACTGGGAATGGGCAGGGAGAGAGGACAGTTTACACTGATAGAGATTTAGGGACAAAGATCTGTGAGTGTGGAGGCCCAGGTAAAAATGTCAGTGCTACTCATCCTAGCTAGATTTTAACATTTTTAACAGTAACTTTTCAAATAACAGTCAGCTATATTAAGTACATCATTAATATTTTCATGCTAGAAGTGAACTGTTTATCTAATCTTATCTGTAAATATTTCTGCAACCAGTTGTCATTACCTATTTTTGCCTTAATATGAAGCATAAGTCACTTAAGCATACTGATTTTTGTACTTCAGCAACTGAGTACTTCACTTACTACTGTGAGCATATACAATTAAGAAACTCCCATCCTTCAACTTTTGGTGCATTGTAAATTAAATATTTCTGTCCTAGACTTGCACATTAAAAAATTTAAATCTTGTGGATGTAATTGAGGGGGTATTTTACCACCTTAGCGCCTCCATCTCTTGACACTGAATACAATATTAATACTGGTTTTTAAAAACTTAGATGGTAAACCCTAGTATTTTCTTAAAAAAAAGATACCATGTGTGAGCAAAATGGTTGAATGATGCCTCTTACCAGATCTGCAGGACTGACAACACAGAATTAATTGCATTTCATTGCAACCATTTATTTTTTCTTTCTTTTCTCTTCCCATCTTTTTTCAAAAGCACTGTGAGAGTGGGGCTGGATGAAGAAGGAAGGTGTGCTGTCTCTGTCCTTTTATTTCTGAAAATGCTATTCTTGCTTTCCAAATGAAGCCCTATACACTGTATTTTTCAGAGCTGCTGAGTGGTGCTTCGGGTGTGTGAGGAGGTGGCATTCCTTGTTGTTCCATTTCCATAATTATATCCTCTAGTTCTTGAGATGTGGAATCCATAGCAGGTTTGCTACAGTACTCTGAAACAACTTTGCTGTAATCTAAATATTTGTGGTTCTGGCTTTTTCGTCTTGAGAAAAAGGGTGATCAGAGTTGCTTCGGTCACTTCTAGGAATTACTCTGTTACCCCTTAAGAATTTAGGTTACCAAATTGAGAAATGTTATTAGGCTGAGAGTGTTTTGCTCTTTCTTGGTAGGCTGCTACTGCAGACTGAAATTCTAATGAATTTCATTGGAGGACAGTGATTATTCATTTTAGAAATACACTGTTCTTTCAGGAAGGACCTACCGGGACTGTTGCCTTTTGGGAAGGACAGTCCCAGAAAAATCAGTCACTGGTACCTGTAAGAAAAAATTCTGAAGCTTCTGCTCTACCTCAGTCCCAGTTACCTTTGCAAAAGAATGAGGGTTGTCTGGACACGTAAGGGACCGCAGGGTGCTAACAGCAGGACTACAAAAAGTATGAAAGATGCTGAAAAACGGGAGGAAAAGGGTTCGAAAACCTTTCAGAGAAGACAGAAGAAGAAATCCAAATGCTTCAAAAATAAGTTTTCTGTCAGTTGCTGCATTTTTGCTGAAAATACTTACACTTAGAGGGGGCAGGGATAACAAACTCGAAAAGGAACTTTTGTAACACTGTCAGTGAAACCGGTGTTGCCGTGCCTGAAGGAGGCGAAGCCGGGCAGGCCCTCCCCAGCTGGGGCAGCCTCCCCGCTGCCCTCCGCACGGCAGCCGTGTCTGCAGCGCCGCCGGGCTTGCCTGTCAACTTGAGGGCACTCTCCAGAGCCATCAGTAGGTGGCATTACAGCTCCTAGCACCGACCAGGCTGAAGGGCGAACGGCTCTCAACGGGTTTTTGGGGTTTTTTTCTTTCCTGAGTCCCAAACAGCTCATTTGGTGCAGCGTACAGAGGAAAATACGGTCAGTTCCCACAGAAGCTCTGCTCCTGCCGCAAAGACTGATGCTGTTGGGATTTTTCAAGTGGCAGCTTTCGTATGCACTGAATTTTGGCTGTTTAATCAAATTCATTCATTACAAAAGAAAGTGAAATGCAGTATCTGCAAGCTGTTGTTACAATCACATATGTACAAACACACGTGGTGTCTGTTTGACAAAGGCTGGTGGTGTAACTCAAACCAGGTACACTGCTCGAGCATTTCTCAGGTCTCAGTAAGCACTGTAGTTGTTTAGTAAGATTAGCTCTGAAAAACTCCCTCAAATTAAAATTTATATGTTTGCATAACTTTGTTTACACATGAAAGACTAAAACCTGTGATATAAACTGAACTGCTGGGGCTAGGAGAGAGGCAGCTCATATTTGCCTATAGCAATAAATGCCAATTTTTAATCCCCAGTTCTTGCTCATGGGCCAGGGCTGCATTGCTGTATAGCAACACCTATATCCCATTTGGTCTTGTGATGATGAACTGAAATTCACTAGCACTGTTGTTGCCTTTGGGAGAATCTTTGTTTTACTCTCTCAGGGTTAATGGCATTTATGCTCTGATACAAACTTGTCAGAGAGACTGATAAAAATGGACTTTTGGTGGGTAATTGAGAGGCTTGGGATCTCACTTGTAAAGATATTTTAATCCCCCAGTCACCTCTGATGCAGAAGGTGCCTTAAAGTCTGTGTCTGCCCAGAACCAGTAGCACTGGTATTATGGAGTAGCTGCAGTTCTCAGACCTGGCAAAATCAGTCTCAGTAAGAACCACCCAGAATCTCCAAGTGTTTCTACTCAAGTGGGTCATCAGAACACGAAGGCATTTATGGTGAAATGCCTTTCTCCTTTTATTTTTTTTAATTAATTCAGTTGTTTTGTAGCTAGGTCACTTGAGTGGAGGGCTGGAACAATGTGCCTTGAATCCTCTCAGCTAGAAGGGTCAATTAAAAGTAGGTCTGCAACATTCAGGCTGGAACCATCACAACCAGCTGTGTTTCTTATTGTGCTGCTTTTTTCTTCTCTCTCGGTGTTTTTTTTTTTGTTTTTTTTTTTTTTTTTTTTGCAAATGAAGGCGTTTAGGCAGTGATCCCTGCAGAAGGAATTAAAGAGATCAATTCTACCTTAAGAAAGACCTTTCTTGCTCTTCAGGATGAAGTTCCCAAAAGCTATGATTCACAAGTGAAGCTTGTATGCTTGCTTCCTGTGGTCGCAGAGGCAATGGAGCTGAACCCTAAAGGAGTTTTACCTTTTAAACCGTTTCCTCTCCAGGGCTGTTTGTGAGAAGCAGTGCCTCACCAGGGAGCTGTCTCGCACATCCTGTGGTTGGTCTGACACCCCCACATGCACTCCCTGTCTGTATCGCTAATAACTTGTGCAGGTTGTCACTGCCCTTACTCTGCTTTAACGCTGATCATCCTTGAGTAGCTCGGCTGTCTCTGTAGCAGGGGCAGTCATTTTGTTAAGCTGTGAGTTACAGCCCTGACTCGTTACCAAGAGCAGCGGTGACTCCTCACTTTCTCTTCAGTATTTCTCGTTGATGAGATTCAGCAGATCCTTATTCAGTGCACTTGTTTTAATAGTTACTAATTTTAGTGCCTAGCTTTCCTGGATGGAGAGAAAGCAGCCTCTATCAATCTGGCAGGCATGCCTCACTCTGAATAGTACCAATGATGTCAGGCATTCGTGCATGTCATCCAGACACCAACCAGTGGATATTTATTATGTCAGCATCCAAATGTCAAATAGAATGATGCTTGGTCCAAACAAACTTGAAAGTCTTAAGGGAATTCATATCACCAGGGTGGTAGTGTCTAAATACTAGGCACTCGGTGTGACCTTTGTGGACGGTTTCCTAGTGGCAGGCATAGTTTATATTGCTATTCAAATAACTGTAGCGAACTGCTGTCTCATCTGTGGTTCCAGCATCCCATTGCTTAAGTATAAAAATTGTCTTAGTAGCAGTCATTAGCTGTGAAAGGCAAACCTAACTAAAATTTCCATGTAATCATCACGAGATCAGAAGTGTCATGTAAACTATTTGAAAATATAAAAAAGCATTCACACAGCTTTTAATAGAGATGCATACCAGTCCCAGCAGGCTTCTTGCAGTGCATAGATAAGAGTTGCAAATTAAAGATACTTGCAGCTGGAAACTTCCTTTCCAAATAACCGCAGGTCACTGTGACATTGGAAATGGTTTCAAAAAGCTACAGTGAGACCACAATCATTGCCCGCTGCCCCCCTCCACTTGCACACATACAAAAGATTTCCTTGAGAAATCTGCTCAGCTCTATGCCCCACAGTCCTAGCAAGCTTCAAAGCTGTAAGGCTGGAGTCAGTTAAAAGGGGAGCTGACAAGTTTCATGTTAGCAAGATAAGCTCGTGAACTTTGCAATACATTTTTGGAAGAGAATTAAATGGAATGAAATTACTTGTAGTCAGTGCTTGCCTGTTTTACTGATTTAGGGGATAAGTTACTGTATATTTATTAGAAGCTGAGATATATGTTGTGCAAAACACAAGCTGTAATACTGTTATTGCTATCCTGTTGGCAAACAGGGCAACTTGGCCATGAATCTAAACCCTTCTACTTTTTGTGCCCTCCTCTGCAAATTTTCAGTTATGCAGTTTTCAGTTGTCAGAAGACAATGTTTCTTTCAGATGTTCTTTGACCTTTTATTGCAACTGATTTAACATCAGCTTAGAATTTAACTAACAATAACTACTTTCTCTGCTGTAACGTATAGGTATGCAAACCACATCTGTCTTGCTGGTGTTTGTTACCAGTGCTTTTTAGCACATCCATCTATTCCATGGCCTCTTTGCCCAGGTGAGGTAGAGAACAGCAGCACCGCTACAGATGTATTTGGGGATGTCTTACCACAGGCAGGACATCCTTCCTAAGAGAAAGGAGGAGTCATCAAACTTACACAAAAGGATGAGTAAGGAATACACTGCAAAAATGCAGATCTCTGATTCACTTACTGCAAGATGACTGTGGGCTATTTGAATCTCCAAAGAGGAGGATATACTCTGGCCATGTAATGT